GAGTCAGCTGTCTTAACCGTGGCTTGTGTACTGCAAACACATACCAGCTTCATCACTGTGTCTGTCACACGACTCTGTTCCCCTTTCGGGCTCTTTCTTTACATTTATTTTGAAAGATGAAGCTCGCGATTATGGTAAGGGGCGTTACATTTCCGACGAGTGCTTGCGGTGTTCGGCCAATCACAATGCACTGGGTCAGCTGGCCAATCAGAGCAGACTGCGCTTGTCGGAAGGAGGGACTTTGTAGAAAATTGAGAGAGGCGGGGCATAGAGGACCTACAATAATGTACAGTTTTTGAAAAATAATGTGTTTTTTGAACATTAAAGCATGTCAACATATTCTGTTACACCAAATACACAAAATAATGATCTTTAAAAAAGCATCATATGACCCCTTTAAAGCAATAGCGCCCTATTAATTTGTGCAGAACATCGCGTCAAGCGGGTCATCATAAAAGTTGTGGTTTCGTGCATTACAGATATTTTTTGGGGAGGTACGGAAGCTTTAAGAGGCCATGCATTTTTTGGCTTGTTTTGTCACAACTTAAAGGGATATTCCACCCAAAAATGGAAATTCTGTCATAATTTATTCTCCTCATGTTGTTCCAAACTGTATGTTTTATTTCTTCTGCGGACTACAAGAAGATTTTGTCAATATTTTCATGATCTCAATATAAACGTTTTTTTCTCTCTCTCTCTCTCTCTCTCTCTCTCTCTCTCTCTCTTTTCTTCTTATTTAGCCTATCTAGAGCAGTGTTATTTATTATTAGCAATGTGCTATGTAAGGGATCATGTACATCCAGCCGGTTATTATCTCAGAATAAACCCTGACAGGGTGATCGCGGAGGGGTCTTGTATCAGCCTGAAGGGGTTTATTCTGAGATAACAACCGGCTGGATGTACATTATCCCGCTTATTACAAGGCTACTCGCCACATACGTAAATAATTAGACGCGAAATATTGATTTGAGTTGAAATATCTGAACGCAAAGCTTCCGTGAACACAGCAGTTGCGAGCAAGCGGCAAATTCAAACTAGACGGACATTTAAGGGAAAAGGTGCAGTCAAACCACTTATTACACAACATTTCACCACAAAAATAATTAAGGCAATAAAAGAATTAAGACGAAAATGTTTTAAAACCTTACCAGTTTGTTAGTTCTCTTATAATCCATTACAGCGTACAAAACAATCGTAGCAAAATGGCAGCAGCTGCGTTTGTATGAAA